TTTGTCAGACCTGAGATACATTTACTTCCACCAATCAGCAGCATGCACTACTGAGGTTGTAAGTGTTCATAAGTGTCTGTAACTCATGTAAGTTAAGTGTTCATTTTGTTGTTTTGCAGATGTTGTTTTGCTCAACCCCGCCACACAGAATCACAGATTGATCAACTATTACATCCGAGTCTGTGTGTAGCAATTGCAACACATGTGCGATGCTATGGCGCTGGATTAGTTCAAAAAATTACATACAGGAAACTCACTTACACACAGATGCCGAACACACACACAAATGACTAAACACACCATGTCTCATATTGTAACACATTTGATCAGTACTATAGGCACATTTTCAAGTTAAATGTGTTTTCTAACTAACTAGTGTCTTGAATCACCTTGATGAGATCAAAAGCGAGACAGAATGCTGTTCCTTTCTTCACCATCTGAAGCAGCAATTTCCAGCACTCTGGATTGACCCTTCTAATTTCTGGCCCAAGTGCTCAATACCTTCTTGGAATTTTTGAGGATTGTGGCCATTAAGGAGGAAATGAGCCATTATATATTATAGGGGAGTTCAAAGCTGGATTTTGAGGCCGATTTGGATGTGGATTTGGATGTGGATTTCGGATGGATTTTGGCTGGTCAAGCAGCAACATTTGGCAAGGTGAGTCGGACTCTGAAACACGTGCAACGTGACTTACACACCATGGTCTTGTTTACTGTACAATGCAACTAGATCCTCCTTTGCTGCCTATAGATCAATAGCTTACCCTGAACCATGACGAAACACATAAACAACTGACATCGCAAACACCTGTCAAATCTGTTGATCCGAAGTCCCGCAAGAAGAAGGCCATTCCTGTGCTAGCTGCACCTGACTTCAATTCTGTGTCCGTATTCTGGCTCAAGAAGTGCAGTCTCATGCCTGGTCTTACATTCTCATCAGCTGCAAAGAGGGTATATACACCGATTTTGCTTGCTTGCTCTTTAACTGTGTCCATTCTCCTGACTCAAGAAGTGTGGTCTCATACCTGGTCCGAGTCTTGCATTCTTCAATGAACTCATCATTTGCAATGAGGGTATGCACACTGGTTTGCTCTCAGTTATCAGTAGTGCTCGATTTTCTGCAATACAAGTGAAATATTTGCCAGGGCTGCAGCGGCCCAATGATTCAACATCAGGAAAACCCTCCTGGGGAAAAATGTTATAATTTTCACAAAAAGTTGTGATTCAGATAATTCTATCTAATTACCAGAATTAGGAATAAAATCGCTAGAAGACGATAATGTACAATGTGAATATCACAAAATATCAAGAACTACTTGAATATACAAAATGTGTATCTATCTAAATATGAGTTCAACCAAAAAGTGTTACAATCATCCAGAAATGTATCACTCATCCATTCTCATGGGACGACAGCACCAAAAGTCAGTATCAGATGGACACTACACACAATACTTGTCAATTTTTCACCACCATGGAATGATCACGAGACCTGGACTGTTGGCAGCAAAAGTTGAGTCTGAAAAGTGGTGTAGACCAGAGGGTCCAAAAGGAAACACTGATACAGACCAAAACACGCTAGAAGTAGTAGAAAGGGAGGTGGGTGGGTGCGAAAAAACGAGAGAGTGATGGGCAAAGAAGATGGGCGCAGAGAAGAAGAGACAGACTTGGTGATATCTGATGAACAAGGACAACACGTGTAAACAAATAAACAAAGAGCCTCGTTGAATATTTGTGCTTATTTACTCTCATGCTTGTTTATCACACGGTTCCATTTTTTTTTTCACTCGCATTCTTCCACCACCACCACATCATGTTGAGTCTTGTGAGTGTGTCGATCCTCCTTTGAGCTCGAGCCATGCCTGATCAAAGGTGTCGCTCTACTGTTCACAGAATGTGAGTGTCAAACCTCGTTCGAGCTTGAGCCATGCCCAATGTGTTGCCCACCATTTGCAGGAAGTGAGTGTGTTCTACCTTGTTGAGCTCGAGCCCATGCATTGTTCACTGTTTGCAGGATGTGAGTGCCAATCCTCATTTGAACTCGAGCCATGCTGGATTCCAAGGGTGTTGCCCATCGTTTGCAGTGTGGAGTGTGTCTGTCCTCCTTCAAGCCTGAGCCATGCTGATCAAGTCATTGTCTGCCATCCACAGCGTGTTGATCCTTCAAGGTCAAGCCATGCTGATCAAAGTCGTTGCCCACCATTCGCCGTGTCTTGGTGAGTTTATCCTTTTTCACAATTGTTTTTTTATAATTACCAACTTAATATTTATATGTTTAGTCATTCTAGTTTTTCTTTCTAGATCTGTATATTTGCGCTTGTTCACACTCATCTACACATGTTCACACTTGTATGTACTTCTCCATGCTCATTCTTAAATGTCCACACTCATTTATTGCTGTAAGGGGTACATTTTTTATGGGCTCCATTTATCCAAAGCCAGGAATTCGGTATTTGTGGTCATTTGTAGCATGACAGTAGTTACTAGTGTATTGTACTTATATTTTCTGATTAAATATTAGTCCATTTTGCTTGTTACAAAACACCTACTGTCTGACGTGTGTTGTATTCTACGCAAGATCAAGATTCGAGAACGCGTGTAGAATGAGGTCTATGTGGCGACACAGCCTCTCGAGTTTTTCTCACACTTCTTGTTTCGTACTTCTACCTAGTACTCACAAACGCCTCCACTGCTTGATAACGCTCTCATTTTTGTCGCAAAAAAGAACAGTCAGACAATTCGAATAATTATGCCAAGAATTCGAAACGATCCAAATTTCAATATCTGTCCGGACTATGCATCAATTAACTTTGCGAACACGAGAGCACAACTCATTAATGAGAACGTCGATGAAGAACAAGCAATTCAATACTCAGGAACATATGGCGAGCTAACAACGAGACAGACAAGGTCTTGTGGCAGCAGCAGTTAGCTGAGGACAGAGAGCAGGCGGGAGCATGCACAAAGGATACAAGAAGACGAACAGGAACGAGTCGAACAAGAACGCATCGACGAAGAAGATGCCGCACACAAAGGAGGAAAGGAAGAAGAATAAACATAAGTATATTCCAATCCTGGACACGGGCATTCCAGACGAACCGTCTGTCACACCTTGCTCAGTATGTTCTTTGTAAACTAGACAAAGGTGAATACATTGAAATGTGGTATTTCACAAACGATGGGCTAGACGAGCATTAATCAAGAAGACTATAGACGATGACACCATGGTTCTATCAACCTTGGCGGATGGATCTACAGCCTGGATCTCTTCGGCATCAGCACGTAACGCTAAGTCGGTTATCAATGACGAGAACTTACCTGTTCGAGGAATTTTGTCAGGCATGTCCTCGCTTTCTAGTTGCCTTGGAAGAAGCGAACTGGCCGGAAGATCGAATCAGAATGATGGCACTGTTCTGGAGGAATATACAAGTGCACAAGTATCGTTCTTTGCGAGATCCAATAGCGCAAAAGACTCTTTTGGTCTATCAGGCCGAGCAATGCAGACACTGGCATGTAGCAGCGAAATCCTCGACAGGACCATATAACATTTCGACGGTTAATGAAAAAGTACTGGCAGACACGAGGGAGAAAGTATACTGGGAAGAACGGCTCAAGAGAGACAACGCGCGCGATTATAAGGTCAGTTTATAATTATATTCTATTACGATTCTATGTTCATCTTTATCGCATTGTTTCTTTTGTCACGCACTTAAAAATTCATACAATACAACATGCAATCATCACGCCTGTCGTATTGCTTCATGCCACATGCCACATGCCACATGCCTCACACCACATGCCTCGCATCACGCATCTCACACTACATGCTATGCGACGCCTACGCTGCACAATATAATGCGCCGAACATGCGCTCAGTCAGAACAATGGGTTACGTCCGCATCCAGGCACAGAGACTCGAGAGAGTCACATAAGCGTGCAGCTTCACCCAAGTACGGCAACAGAGCCAAAAGACCTAGGCAGGATTTTCGTCCAGGCACAGGCGGAGGTGTTCTATCCGCCTGTGCCATTTGTCTTGGACGAAACCCGCACAGGATTATCGAGTGCAAGGTGTCCAAACTCTGGGACGAATCGTACGATACTCTCTGCGCACGAATTGGCAAAAGTACTCACCATGCGAGACGGGAGACCAGTCTGCAGCGACTGGCAAAGAGTCAAAGGCTGTTCGGACACCACCCACGACCGAAGGCATTTTTGTTCAGGGTGCGGCAGCGCGTCCCATGGAGCTCAGGCTTGTCCTCGAGCTCAGAAAGCGTAAGGCAGTCACACCATACAATCCAGGACAGGTTGGAACACAATCTCGTCAAAGCAGGTCTGCTCGACAGATATGCGCACATTCCTAACAGCCTTCGCAATGGTTTCATTCTTAACATCCCTAATATTAAAGTCACACAAATGCCGCCGAACAAAGAATCCATTGGTACATACGAGCGAGAGTTTCAGTCTATTATTCAAATGGAACTTAAGAAGGGAAGATATATTGGTCCGCTCGAAGCTGATGAAGTCCGAGAATCTCATCGGACCTTTTCAGTCGTCTCCATTCTCCATTATACCCAAACCGGGACGTCCTGGACGGTATCGTGTCATACAGAATTATTCATTTCCACACTCTACTTCTTCTAAATTTCCTAATGCATCAATCAACTCGTACATTAATCCAGATGATTTTCCTAGTACTTGGGGCACCTTTCACGTGCTCGCGCTCACAATCAGCTGGCTTCCACCAGGATCTCAGATCACCATCAGGGATGTCTCCGAAGCCTATCACATGATTCCAATTCACCATTCACAATGGCCAGGAGCTGTCGTGCGAATCTCGGAAGAACATTTCTGCATCGACACGTGCATGTGCTTCAGGCCTGCGACCATCAGCCAGAGCCTATGGTAACCTGGCAGACGCTTGTCTTGACATATTTCGCTCAAAGGGGATCGGGCCAGCGTCGACATGGGTCGACGATCATGTTTTTATTTGCATTCTTAAAGAACATATTGCAGCATATAACGAAAGGAGAGAGCAATGGCATAGAGACATTACAGAGACAGCATCAGGATGGAGGAAGGATTTGGTTTGGGGGACACATATTCGAAGACGGAACCCTGGAGGAATTCGACGAGGATTGTCAATTCCCTATTGCAGACTTGTCAGGGGCGTCAGTTAGATCGGCAGAACATGTTCGATTCTCGTGCAACCTATTGGACATCGACCAAGTCTCAGACGATATTGGCGTTCCGTGGGAATTTCTCAAAGACAAACCTTTTGCTTACTCGAATCCCTACATCGGGATCATTTGGGATCTGGCACAAGACAGAGTATATTTGGCGGAAGAAAAGAAACAAAAGTATCTCACAGCGATTGAGCAATGGTCGCAACGGAGCACGCACACTCTCCTCGACGTGCAGCAACTGTATGGTAAGCTCTTACATACTACGCTCGTCGTTCCCAAGGGACGCGCATATCTTACGTCGCTGGAGGCGATGCTGCGCCTCGCGATGGGTAAACTGTTTCTCCCATGGAGACCAGTTAAGAGCCTTGAGGGTGATCTCAACTGGTGGAAAACACTGCTACAGAATCTGTTTGTCGGTCGTGTCATTCCCAAACCGCTTACATTATTCAATCCAGCCGCATATTCAGATGCCAGCACGAGCTTTGGAATTGCTATCGTCATTGGAGACAGATGGCGAGCATGGCGTTTGCGTGAAGGATGGCAGACACTCAAAGGACAAAAGGACATCGGTTGGGCCGAAGCGGTGGGGTTTGAATTCCTTACTCAGTACATTATCGCAATGGGAAGAAAGGAAAGGCACTTCAGAGTATTTGGGGACAACCAAGGAGTTATCGAGGGATGGAAGAACGGACGTAGTCGGAATACAGCGGTTAACACCATCTTTCGACGAATCTTCGACCTTATCCACGATTCCGGATCGGCTTACTCATTCCATCCAGCGTACGTCGCAAGCGAACAGAACCCAGCAGATGGACCATCCAGAGGGATCTATAGCAGCGCCGAACTTCTTCTCCCCGTTCTCCCCATCCCAGAAGCACTTAGACCCTTCCTCTCTGACACGAACACCAGTTACAACGAAGTGTTCGACCGTGATACAGAAGGAAGTCTTAATGACGCCAATGATAGACCTGTTAGCATCGATTCCGGCACAAGCGACAGTGAAGAGATCCGATACAGCACAGATTCCCATTTCTTCATCCGCCAAGAGCAGCAGCAGGGCGAGGAATGAGTCCCGTTTCAAAGCCGCACTGCCTGAAGAACAAATCGTCAGACCGCAACCGTACAAAACAGGTTTAGTACCAATACCCTCGCAGCTGCGCCCTCATTGTTTGGCACGGGACCGGTTTAAGCTCTGGTTTCCATTCACATCCAGAGTAGCTGCAGGACCAGACGGGAAACGTTTAGCCATAACCGAGGAGGATCTGGAGAGAGTATTGACAGTGATGAGCTTATCATGGGCGGTTGGAACAAGAGAATGTTACGGGGCAGGACTGTTGGTATTCCACGTGTTTTGCGATGAGAGGAATGTCCCAGAAGATCAGTGTTGTCCCATAGACACGAAGACACTTCTAAACTTCGTGGCGAGTTGCGCAGGATCATACTCTGGAAGAACGCTAGGAAACTACGTATACGCGATCAAAGCTTGGCACACGCTCCATGGTCAACCATGGAATATACAGCAAGATCAGTTAAAAGCAGCGTTAGACGGAGCTGCAGAACTCACTCCTTCCACATCCAAGCATGAAAAACGAGCACCGTTTTCCATCAAATTAATCCTCGAAATTCGTTTGCACTTGGACTTAACAGCATCGCGTGACGCTGCAGTATACGCATGTCTGACGAGCGCATTCTACGCACTATGTCGATTAGGCGAAATCACGGTCAAATCCATATCGGCATTTGATCCTAGAAAGCACGTCAAACGCTCAAACATAGAGTTTGACATTGAAGATCGTAATCAATTTCGCGTAACCAAGATCTTCTTACCATGCACCAAAGCGGCCGCAGCAGGAGAGTCAGTACACTGGGCACAGCAAAACGATTTGACAGACCCCAAAGCGGCTCTCCTACATCACTTTGCAATCAATGATCCACCAATGGACGGACATCTATTCGCATGGAAACACGTCAAAGGATTCAGACCACTGACGCGCACCGAATTCTGGAAAAGAATCAGCGGCATATTGAAAAAGATTGGAATGGGGAACTTCAAAGGGCACGGTTTGCGCATAGGAGGGGCGCTAGAATATTTGCTCCGCGGAATACCATTCGATGTGGTCAAGTCCATTGGGAGATGGTCAAGTGAAGCCTTCACATTATATCTGCGCAAACATGCAGTCATACTGGCGCCGTATTTGCAAGAATCGCCTGCCCTAGAACCTTTCACGCGATATACAATGCCGCAAACACGTTAGAGAGGTAAGCACACCTTCAAAATACTATATCGAACTTTCTCCTTTAGAGCGGGTGTCCATGTTGAGCTATGACTGCGTCGCAAGTCTCCTATATCGTTGGGAATCACAGCTCACATGGACTTTCTCCACAGATAGGAAACGGTGTTTCGGGTCGCGAGACCCTGCGGGTCCGAGCCCAAATAGCTACACGAACGTTCTTGTTACCGTTTGTAAAATCAGAGATTATTGCTTACCAATATACGTGATTTTACTCGCTAGACCAGAGAGCAAAAGCTACACATAGACCAGAATTTGGGCCGCTGGCACAAATAACCAAAGACCCGCAATGAGAAATTTCCAATAGCCACTCAGTGACTGGATTCTTTGTATCATACCCTAGCGTGTGCGCAGCGCCAATCAGCGCACCACACGTTTTTACTTGCATGTCATAAAATTGTTCATCTTCGCTCCTTCATGACATTACGCTAACAGCAACAATAATTCTGCCAGATCAGTGAGAATCATGCCAACAAGTATATGCAGGGTATAAAAGCTGGCTGACGTTCTACAGTCACTATTCCCCCATCCTCAGAGATATCATTCGAGATCACAGAAAATGCGTTTCTCCCTCCTCGCTATTGTTATTACTTTGATAGCATCTATGTCTGTTAGTGCATGCAAGGACAGAGGTCATCCTTGCACAGCTGGCGAATGCTGCGCTCCGTTGGCCTGCATAATGAACGTGAGTACGAGCAGGTTGCTGTGCGACCAAGATTCATCCACAGGACTCACCTGCGTGCCTTAGGATGAAAATGGGATGTGGGGCTGCGGAAATCCAAGGCCCTGGGAAGAGAAAATTGAGCCGGCAGCCTGAACGGCACATCCAACAGTGATTCATGATTCTGCTTTTGCTTTGGTATCATGGCTGATGGTGTGATACCTAGTCAATCAATACAGTTGTTTTTGGACAAATTTTGGTATTGCTCGAGTAATGTGGATGTTTGAACTTTTCTGAAAATGATCGACCGTGCCTAGTCTTGCTTGTGGTCCACTAATAAGCTTGAGTTCGAGAGGCTGTCGAAACGAATGATCATTGCCGTTAATGATTAATATTCGGAAGCTGTGGTACAAAGACGGAACGCACTGTACAAGTTGAGTCTGTCCGTCTAACATTAGCCTCGGGCCATCAGTTTTAGGGAACCTAACCTGCATGATGTCGCGCCGACCGGGACGA